CTTCGCAGCCGACGACGGGGCGATCTTCTGCAGGAAGGTAGATAGCGACTCTGCAACCTCGAGGAACTCCTGCGTCTGGGATGGGGTAATCCTATGGCCCTGGACCCTCGGTGGCCTACCCGCCTGCTCCATCAGAGCGCCGAGCACATCCACATACAGCGGGCCCTGGGTAGAGACGTTCTGAACGTCGTCGAACACATGCACCTTGGTGACGGAGGACGGCAAGACCTGACGAAGGGCGGCCTCGTCCCAAGGACGAAGCACCTTCACCAGAACAACACCGACTCCCTTGAGTCCGGCAACTAGCGACTTGACAGCGAGCGCCAACGGGCTGTTCAAAAGGATGACGACGTTGGTCGCCTCAGCGTCTCCAGCGTACTCGAAGAAGCTATATCCTGCGCGCTTGATGACGTCTGCGGAGGACGCGGAAGCGGTCGATTCCACCTTGACAGGCTCGATAGCGTGACCCTGTTCACGAGCGCTGCTGAAATGGTCGAAGAGATGGATGACATGGTTGCCGGTAAGCGCGTAGGCCAATCCTGCGAAATCGACGGACTCCTGTGGGGTGGCGGACAGAAGGACGACAATGTTGTTGGGCAGGAGAGAGATGGTGGTGGATAGGGAGTAGAGGGATGGGGAGAACGTCAACGATTCACCGACCGGTGTGACTGTTGGGACCTGAAGGATGAGTCGACTCGTGGGTGTGGGCGCGGGGAGGTAGGTCAAGGAGTTAGCCATCAGCGAGAGCCCGGCGGGTGTAGTGTACGCTGTGATGACCGACGCCTTGGAGGTATCCTTGGACGTTCCTTCTGATAAACGGCCGACCAAGGCAAGACCGGCTCCGGACCTGGTTTGGAGGTGGACCACAGGTGCAACATCTTCTGGGTTTGTCGATAACCTCAGCTTGGTGAGAGTGCCGAACCCAGCCTGGTGAGCCAAATCATAGATGTAGACAGCCGAAGATAAGGCGGGGGCCGATGATATGATTTCGACGAGATTGGAAGCAGAGGTGCGAGGGTTCGAGAAGAGAGAGTCCTCAAGGAAGCTAGCTGGCTTCAGGACCGGTGAAGAGGTGCCGGAAAGCGTGGTCGTGGTGGACAAGGGGGTTGAAGGAGCTACGTCGACCATTTTTTCCGTCTCGCAGAGCTGCGTTTGGGGAGATTTTCGCGGTTGTCGTCGGAGTTGATATGCATTTGGGAATTCGGAATTCGAGGTTGATCACGACAGCTCTCCTCAGAAAGGCGTCAGAAAGATGACTCTCCAATGTGCACATGACCGCCAGACGCTCTTCCAACATGTCGGCAGTCCATCTCCTCCGCCACCCGCTAGTATCCACCATCCTCTGTCAACTGAGGCAGGCATCGTCCTCGCCAAAGCAGTTCAGAGAGGCTATTCATCAGATCTCTCTCATACTTGCGATAGAATCCTCGAGAGACCTGGAAACCAAGCCGTTCAATGGCCAATCTCCAGTCGCCCCATTCACCGCTGAGATCATCAAGCCTCGCATCGGGCTGACGCCAATTCTCCGAGCGGGCCATGGAATGACCGATGCGCTCCTCTCCATGTTTCCGTGCGCTTTAGCATCTATGTCGACTGTTGTCGCCATTGGTTGACTCATCTTTGTACCTTAGGGATGCGCCGGTCTATCACCTAGGGCTCTTCAGGGAGAAGGTGTCACTGTCGCCGGTCGAATGTGAGCATGAGCACCGTGCCTGAGCAGTACATGGGGCATCTCGCTCATCACTTCACCTCATAGACTACTCGAAGCTACCTCCCTCTCCGCCCGTAGACATGATCTACCTGCTGGACCCCCTCATTGCCACAGGTGGCACTGCGATAGCGGCCATTACCATGATAACGGATTGGGGCATCCCTCGTGCGTAATCTTATCTTCTTCGTTCAGTTCTTATGCTCATTGCCCACTTTCTTTTCCAGTATCCAACATCAAGTTCTTGTCCGTCCTGGCGTCTCAACCCGGGTTAGACGCTATTCTGCAGCAATTCCCTGGCCTCGAGGTTAGCATGCCTTGTACACGTTCCCCGGTTGAACCTTTGCTGACGTACGCGCCGGTAGATCTGGGTAGCCGCTATCGATTCGGAACTCACAGCAGAGGGCGTGATCACTCCCGGCCTAGGAGATACTGTAAGCTCTTCAAGAGTCTCCATTCCGCACATCGCTGACGAGCTTTGCCGAACAGGGCGACAGGATCTTCAATACCGTAAAGACGGCCTAATTTACCCTATGTCTCTGTTATATCAAGGGTGTTTCCGAGAAAGTATCGGCATCTCTCATTCACCAATCTGTACTTTCACCTGTCCTTCGACGGGTCTGTTCAACAATAAACCAAGATGTATTCGACTGTAATCGCCGTATTGGCCTTCGTGGTTTCATACTCAGCGACGCCACCAACCTGTCCAAGCCTCAGCACTTGCCCCCACAGGGACCCACCTCGGCCATTCATGGGGACCTCACAAAGCTGATTATGAAGCCCAAAGTTCAACTGCCCATGCTCGTCCGCGAGGCCGCGGTGCCGTCGAGCGTCCTGATCCATAAGCATATGGTTCGGCCACTCATATTTATTGCGCGGCTTGTCGTTGGCCAGGATATGTTCCAGAAGACAAGAACGGTTAGTTCTCGGTGATTGAGCAGATGCCCTGCATTTCCTAGCCTTGTAGCCGCATAATGGTGTAAGCACTATATCTCTTACACACCGCATAGCGAACTCCCGTCAATCGCAAATGCAGGGTCGCGACGCAAGTTGGAAATGCTTTTACAACTTGGAGTTCGCCATGTAAAGTAGAGTACATCAGCTCAAGTCCTGCGATCGGAGCAGTCAACCCCTCTTCTGGGAGGAGCATTGGGGTTTATTTTCGAAATGTTTATGCAAGGGCCATGAGTAAGCGTACTGGTGCTGGAGGCCACCCTAAACCACAGCATCTACAGCAGTGATAGACTCACCATTTTTGTTTAGGCTGCTCTTCTTTTTCTCTGTTTTAAAAAGCTGATCACGAGATTCTCCAAGACAAGAAGCGAGCCGTCGGTGGCTGTCTCCGATGTCAGGCTATACCTCAGGTGAGATCGCAGTGAGCCTTTTAGCCTCTTTGTGGGCGGTCACATCGAATAAGGACGATGAATAACTCTTGAGAAAAGGGGGTAGGTCGGTGCCGCCGCCCGCGCTTCACATTGATTCCGTGGGTGGTCAGATTCTGGAGTAGGCTTTGTTTGGCCATATTTGTTGGCTGGCATGCAGAAACATCCGCTACTTACAATTGACACTGGTCTCAAATCTCAGGGCAGACCAATCATTAATATAGTGGGTGCCCTGGTCTTCGTGGATATCCTTGGCAATCAGAACTTTGTTACAACACCACTGTATTATATACTGTAAGTAATGACCACGCAATGTCTGCGTAGGGCTCCAACTAATTACATTACGATTACTCAGATTGAGTATTTAATCGGTATGCAGTAACTAATCAGTAGGTAATCAGTTGTAATTGGTTTGATCACTAATTGTGGATCACTTTTTATTTGAGGATTGACTCTGAGGAGGAGGTGGACGAGACACAGAGGAAGATGAAGCGCACGGCAAGACGAGGCACAGAGAAGTACAAGACACAGAGGAGGCGGATGTTTATAGACGTGCACTGAATTATCTTCTCACGTATCCAAAACCCTCGAATGTTCCGGTGGATTTGAGATATAGAATTCGAAAGGAGTGGCGGTGGTGGTGGTAGTGGTAACAAGAAGATACGAGGAGGAGGTATGATATGAACTCACTAGAAACATGCGACGACGGCCGCGCACACGTTCGTCGCACGACCCGTCGTCATTCTGCGTGTCTATACCCCCCAGTCAAGCCCAAATTCCGATGTATCTGCGCTCTAGAGATGAGGAGCGGCGGTGGTATTGAAGGGAGCTCTGACAAACTCATCAATACCACCCGACGCCGGAAGCGCACGCGTTTGCCGTGTGTCTCATGACGTTTCTAGGCGCTGATAACCCTCATTTGCATCCAGATTGAGATGCATTTGAGCTCTAGAGATCAGTGCAAGTGGTGGTGGTGGTGAGATGGAGGTACAACGGGAAGGTGAAATATTAACTCACCGATGCGATGCAAGGACGGCAGCGTACACATTTCTTGTGCGGTATGTCAAAGCCCTTGAGGAAAAGACTCGTCTGTAAGATCAAGAGCGCGTAGATACTCATGTGACAACACGGTCCAGCCCGTATTCTCCTCGGCGGAGATGTAGTGATAGCACTGATAGGTTGGTGGTAGGGTCGCGATGGTCGTGGGCTTATAGCGTATCCATTCGACAGTTGAATGTCCCCCAGATATCCTTGCTAGAGTCCGTTGGGATGTTCATGTGTATTTTATCATCGGAATTGGCCAACGGCACTGAAGCTGTCAACTGAGAGACGAAGAGCGCAAGTCTTCTTGATCGCAGCAGTGAGCTCTTAAGCTTCTTAAGCCGTGATGGTGAAGGAGGGTGTTGATGAAGAAGCAGACACGCAGTGCACCAATAACAAATAATATTTTATGGCAGACTGCGTCTACGACGAGAGCGTGGTGGGATTGTTCAATTCGCAAAAGTAGGAGGACGCGGCAGAACACCGACGTCCAAGCCTTGAAGATATGATAAGAAACTTAGAAACCAAACTGTATAACACGTGCCTTTGACTTTCAGAATCTCCAGCCCGAAAAGACAGTTAGTCGGTCCCTTCCGGCGCCCATCCGCTTGCAGGCGCAGGCGCCCCACCAGCTCACCGTCCCACGACAAAGGGTTTGTATTCACCGACTACCCACTACTAAATAGATTATAAACCATTACACCTCAGGCTCTAACTAATCGTACACAGTATCGGTTATAAATGACTATCATCAGTAACTAATTGAATCAGTTGGAGCCCTATGTCTGCGTCGACGTCTTCAGCAGTAGATCTACATCCAGGATCCTCAGACGACAAAAAGATATCATCCGTAATTTATTTGAATTAACAACCTACGATGGGGATCGAACCCACAACCTTTGCCTAACCAGTTCATAGGAAAGCAACGCTCTACCATTGAGCCACGCAGGCGCTGAGAAGTATGTGCAAGCGTTGTATATGATCAGAAACAGTCCAGCCCGCCTGTTCTCAGAGCATCTTGTCAGACCGGAGCTACAAGCTGAAGACCAGTAAATTTAATAGTAACCAAAGTACTGGCAGTCTGGCACCTACCAAGACCGACAAACGAGAGTCTGAGGTACACGCGCGCCTATAATAAATTCCGAGTGCCTAACTACCAAGGTAGTAGGCACGAGGAGGGGCTGGAATCAAAATTCAACCGGGACCTGCGTGGGATTATCGAGCCTCTCGGTTGCCTCCCGAACTACTTCATCTCCAGCTGCAGCAGGCATATTGTGTCGGCAAACGACCAATGCTTCAGTGTTCTGTCTCTCGCTGAATTCAAATACGAGCTTGCCAGATCCAAGTGCAGGGTCCGGGGAGAGTAGAGCGTTAATGATCGATTCACGTCGACACTTTTCACAACCGTCGCCCGAAGGACATCACGAAAGGTTGGAGTATAAAGTATATGAGTGTATTATAAGTTCAAAGTACAGCGATTGGTTTCTTCATAGCTCGTTCGGCAGCGCACCGCCCCGATTAGATCCCACGGGTCGAGCCTCCACCCCTGGTGTCTACGAACCCGCTGCCCTTCGAGTCGTTGGTGGCTCCCCATCCTGCACCCTTGATCCCCTCGCCAGACTGGAATCGCCCCTCTGCCAAGATCTTCTCGACGACATCGATGTCTTTGTGCGTGCCAAAAACGCTGTCGAGCTCCTGGTTCGAGACCTGGCCGAGTAGACCTTGCGATCCCTGGCCACTGTGGAAGACGCCGAAGGCTGCAGATGTCACACACCATCAGTATACAAGTGCTGCAAAACGATAGTTGCGCCTTACAATCTACGACCTCAGCAAGCGGTATCGAGCTGCGGATGATACATCAGTGAGGCGCCAGGGTCAAGTACGCGGTTAGGTATTTACGTGTCTGGAAACAGAGGTACTGAGCGATCGCGATCGTGAGAAATGAAAGATGACCAGCTTACCTCCCTCCTTCCACTTCTTGAACTATGAGAAGAAAACGAGATCGCAAATCAGATCAGGTCGAATTGAGCGTGTTCGAAACTGCACACCTCTTCAGAATTTACGATGACGATGTACTCGTTGGTGGACTGGGTGTCTGGCTTGAAGACAACCTTGGACAATGATTTAACCATGATGAATGTGGTGTTTGGTTAGCGTAAGAGGTGTAAGCGTGAAGTTGAGTTTGTGTTGCTGGTGATAGCGGATGAAGATGAGATCGTGTGACAGTTGCTCCTCTTATACCGCTGGGCCAAAATGACGTATAGCCGCTGACACGTGCTGGTGACGACACGCGCTTCGCATTGAATTCAAATATTTCTGTGGCAACGGCCCCGGTGCCCACAATCACACACGAATTCGCCAGAGAAACCACCAGCAAATATCCGGGAAGATGATCTCGATGGCACAGGAGGATAATCAACATCTATCATTGCTCCCTCACCGCATGGTACCGACTACGACCCGCCCTCTAGTCTTGGTCAATCGCTGTCTGTGCCATATCATTGCTCAGCGCTCAACGTCCAAATTCTTCCAATTAACCCCCCTCTCGCCTTCAACTGGACCGCGTGATGCACTATCGAACTTCGCCAAAGGCACCAGCGAAGGTCTACCATGTGCACATTGGAATGGGAGCGCCGTCCGCGAAAGCCTCTCTACCAGCTCCTTGCACTGTTGCGTAGACAAAACATCGTTGAACATGATGGCCCCTGGGAAACCCGCGGTCAGATTCCACTTGAAACCGCACGAGAAAGTCACGCCCACCTCTGCAAGCCTTCGAGTTCAGTAAATCCAAAAGTTCTCGTGGACACCACCTGAGGGCTTTCATCCAGGCAACGGCACTGTCCGCAGCAGCAGGATCGATAGGGATCTTAGCCGGCGGAAAGATGCCAGTGGTTTCGAGGTGTCCGAGATAGCCTTTCACGAGTTCTCGCAACTCGTCGTCCATGAGTAGCTGTTGTATTTTTGTATCAGTATGAGAAAGGACGGAGTGCAACTCGCGTGCGTACCTTCCTGCTCACTACCTCAGGAATGTTCTTCACGTAGGCTTGACAGTATCCTCTATCTGCCTCCTCATCCACACTGTGATTTGTGCGCGTTGGCATAGCAGTAAACTCTATGCCCCACATGCTAAACGCCCGCTGTATATCGGCGAACGCAGACAATTGCTCGGCTTCGTGTCGAGTAAGGAGGACGGGTATTGGTGGATCAAGAATTTTGACTTTCACCCCTTCACCGACTCCCTGTGCTTGACGAAGGAAGCCCGAACAAAGTTCTTCCATAAAGCGCTCGACTCGTACTCTTTCGTCTGCGGCATGTTGATCGATGAGCACGAGGGTGCGATCGCTATTGTTTTCGTCCGCTCCAGGCTGGGCGCCGCTCGAGCCCATCAAGCACGCGATAAACTTGCAGTCAACTTGCTGAATGACCTCTGCGTTTCTGAGATCTTCTACTGTGAACCGTAGACTAGAGGTCTCCCCTTGCTGGTGAAGAATAGCGGAACGCTGGCAAGCGTGGGACGTATGATTTCCCTGGAGTTGCAGCTGAGATGTGAATGCTGATGCCAGATGCAGCGCTGGGACTTTCTTCTGCGTCAAGGTATATACATCGTTCGACTGACAAAAAATGGGTTGAGGCAGCGCCGGTATATAACTCATGTCTCACCTTCAGTGCCGACTGAATCCATGAGGGCGCGGTGCCATCCCCCACCGAGGTCTCTTTCAGCTGAGGAGCCAGTGTCCGTCTCCTCCTTAACACCGGACCATTGTTTTCTGTCGAACCGGTGTTGCCCACCAAGAAAGAGTTGCCTGTTCGCTGATCAATTTGGAACCGTTCACCAGTCCGCGGGTCCGTCCAGAGCAAGGGCTCTGCAGAGTTCTCTCCATCGTCAAGTGAGATACGCACGGCCGCTGAAGGCTGTAAAGAAGCGGCCCTCGCGACAACTCCAGTGTCCACTTTCCGTCTTTTGCTCGGCGACGCATGGAAAGAGTCCGATGATTCACTTCTCTTCATCGGACGGCGAGCTTGTAGAAACCCATGCTTGACGAGGAAACGTTCAATGATCGAGGATAGAAACGTGCCCAGGGCTCCCCTGTTCTAATACGCGAGAGAATGTCAGCTATCGAGACTCTTGAGCAAGGAAACGTCGGCTTACTTGGAGATGCACAACAGCTTTACCTGGATCTAAACAATTATCGACGTCGGAAGAGGGGATTGTAATGTTCAGAGCGTAGACTTGACGCCTCATGGCTTTCCTGGGCGATCTTCTCGTCTCTAACGTTAATCATTGATCAGCGAAGGAAACGGAACAGTTCTGGTGTATGCTACCTGCATACGGCTGCTCCAGTTCTCCAGCTTCATCTAACGCCTGAATTCACAATGTTTAGAGTGGGCACGTCGAATAGTTAACAGCAGGAACTGACGTGCTTTGAAAATGTACTCGTGGCGAATCTATTCTCGATGACTCTGTGCAAGTCGCATGGCGACAATGGGTGTCGATTCAAGACTGTTGGAAATGCAACGCCGTTAAACAACATCGCCAAAGAAGCGAGGAGCACATACAAAGATATTGGTAAGCCTTCACAGAACCAGCATCAATATCATCGTCGAGACTCAGGAGCAAGTTATTGGTACCTGCGAGTGAGCTCCGTTGAGACTAATAAACCCGTCGATTGTAACCTGGTTCTCTTCCTCGTGTATCTCTTCCACACGCTGGATTATGTTAGAAAGCGCAAGACGTTATTCCCAGTATAGCTTAACTCACCTCAGCTAATGAACGGCCGAAAAGCCGTCTGAACGTTGCAAGCCTGGAGTCGGTCTGAGGAAGACAAGGGAGTTCAGGCTCGTACACGGTAAGGCCAATGAAGGCACTTTACACCAGGCACCCGGAAACTCTTTTTCTTAGAGCTACTTGAAGGGTCGTCGTTTTCCATCTGCAAAGCAAACGCGACGGAAGGGAAAGCAAGAGCGTAGGTCTCTACTTCTTGCCTGATCATTTCGAACGTCTTGCTGTGGTTAGGATGGGCACGTCGGCGGATTGGTAGCTATAAGCGCATTTCAGAGGGGTCAAGTGGGGCTGATGGCAAATGTAGCTTACTTACGTTGAAGAAAGCATCTCTGATGTAGACAACGGTCCCAGGCGTCTCTCTTCTCCATCTGAGAGAGGGACCGTTATAGAGACACTGTCCCTTCTACATGAAGTCCGGTCAACCACTGATCAGCGCGAGCAACGGGGGTTGACCGCCACCTTGAGTATAATAGACCAGCTTTCCCTGGAGTTGGCAGTACGCGTTGAAATCTCGAGACAAGATACATCTGCAATTGAAGCGAGAGCTATCATTGGGTATACGTCAGTTGCAGCGCAGAGCGAAGTGAACGCGTTATACACGCAAAGTACCTTCACCACGAAAGCCCAACGTGGTGACCACGCCTAAAGACACCGAGTCATATGCCTTAGAAGTGCCTGCATTGAACCCGTCAACGACCAAGACCATTAATCCAAGGGGCACCCGCACCGTATCGCGCTTGCTCCACGCCTTGCGCTAGTACAGCCAAATCTTCCTTGTGAATTCCAAGTCCATCATCCTTGACCCAACAGGACCAAGCTTCACAGTCGACCCCGAGCTCTACACTCGATGCGCTTGCATCCAGCGAGTTCTGGAATAGTTCGGATATCAAGCTTGGTAGGGAGGTGATGATCTGAGTGGAACGGAGTTTCGAGCGAGTTTCCACCGGGAGCTGGTTCATGGTATTCCACTGGGCTGATGATGCATTGGCTTCTGCCGTCAAGAGTATTCTGTAGCAGTTGAGAATGGTGTATCTTCAGCTAATGCTAGTGAAAGTCGACATGGAGGCGAGAGCCAGGAAGAGATTGAAACACCATCACGAGGCGGCTGCTAACAAGTTCGCGCCTGTTCTCAGCGTTCGCGCAGAGCTCCCACACAAGCGTCTTGACG